ACGCGTGTCTGGGGGGCAGTTCTAGGGGGGCAGTGGACATGTGTCTGGGGGGCAGTGGGGGCGTGTCGGGGGCAGTGGACGCGTGTCCGGGGAGGCAGTGGACGTGTGTCCAGAGGGGTAGTGGACGCATGTGGGGGGGCAGTGGACGTGTGTCCGGATGCAGTGGACATGTGTCCGGGGACTGGACAGGAACCTACCTGCATCCAGTTTCCACTCGTGTCTACGGTTGGGATCAGCTGAGAAGCTCCTGAACAAGGTGACCCAGCCTCTCAAACGTGTGAAATGGGACAGGCCGCCAGGTTGCTGCTTCTGAAAAAACATGCAACTGTTCTATGCTCTGTGCTCTTCAGAAACATGCATAACACGTAGGCCCTGCGTAGGTTTTGCTTTTAACCAAGTAGTGACTCTGCCCCAGGCCGGGTAGAAGCCACGGCTCCCGCTGGAGCGCGGGAAAGGGTGGGGGCTCCTGCGTCAGGGCAGAGCAAGTTCCAAGTCCCCAGCTGTTTCCAGATGGTTGGGCACAGGGCTCACAGGTGCCCCTGTGGGTGGGGCCCGGGGGGCATGGGAGGGGCTGCAGAATCCGCAGCTGTGGTGCCAGGATGGACCCGAAACTCAATCACGGCCAACAGGGAAACTTCACAGAGAATCAGGTCCCAGTCGTGACAGGTGCTGTATGATATTTTGGAACTAACTGAAAAACTCTTGAGACACTGATGAAGGCCACGGAGATGTTGAGAGTCAGCAGACACTGCACTCAGGGCAGGTGGCTGAGCTCAGCCACAGGACCCCCAGGGTTCGTTCACTCCAAGTGGAATTGATTACCACTTCAGTGCAGTCCCAAACGACATGCCCATTTGGGGGTAGATTTGCAGCCTTATGGGTGGGCCGGGCCCCCTGAGAACCTGCAGGCCCAGAAGTGGGGGCTGTGCTTGCATGTTCCATTCATCTGGAGGCTTGATAAGTCCACGTGTGTGTGGACTGCACTGCTGTGTGAGGGCAGGGCCGACGGCGGCTCGGAGACGCAGCAAGGCCGCTGAGGAGCCCAGATGAGCTGTGCCATGGCCGGCAGTGGGTGGCAGAGACACAGCCAGCAGACCCCGGGTGGTGAGGGATGCGCTCACTGTGTGGGTGAAGGGCTCCGCCCTCAGGGCTAGTGGCACCGCCGCGTGGCCAGTCCCACTCCCAGACCCACAGAGGGCATGGGCAGGCCCGGGAAGCAGTGAGTCAGGGACAGTCACGCCCCACCACAGCAGGGACCCAAGGCCACGGCCTGAGCACCTGGACGCTGCCCGAGGTGGGAGCGGCATTGGTCAAAGCAGAGATACAGGCGCCACACCCCAGAGCTGCCTGCACTTAGAGGCGTTTCGAGCTGAGCCGGGCCGGGTCGCCGGGCGGAGGAGCATCCTGGGGCCGGATGGCCAGGTGGAGGAGCGTCCTGGGGCCGGGTGGCCGGGTGGAGGAGCGTCCTGGGACCGGATGACACTGGCTGCCATTTTGTTTCCGTGGAGGTTTTCATCATACTTTAGACCATGTTCAAAAATACCAACAAAACCAAAGCTCAACAGACAATTTCATGCAGTAAAAGAAGGACTGATGTGAAGATACTGTGCTATAACTAAAATTTAGTCTCACATAAAAATAAGTTTGATATAGAACTTAAATTGTGAATTTGGTTTTATATTCTAGAAACTTCCATACGTGTATGCATTCCCCGGGTAGCGCTGGCCATTCTAAGGTGTATTGGGAGAGAATTGGCACAGCCGTCCCTTTGGGGCTGAGGACGGCCCAAGCTGACCGGCTGACCCTCTGCCTTCGTGTCTCCCCAGCTACCCGTACAGTGAGGATGCCCGCCAGGGTGAGCAGTACATGAACACCCGGTGCCCGGCCTGGTGTGACCGCATCCTCATGTCCCCGTCTGCCAAGGAGCTGGTGCTGAGGGTGAGTGTGTGCTGCCCCGGCCCTGGGTGCAGAGGGACGTGGAACGCTGGGTCTGGTCTGGCCCAGCCTGGTGACAGGGCCCTGGGGATGGGGGCACCCAGTCTGGGGAATGCTGCCAGGTTGGGCCCTGACCTCATCCTGCCATGAGCTGCACCCCAGTGCTGGGTCACCTCCGAGCCAGCACCTGGGCTGGGGCAGCAGCAGATGGAGCCGAGTTCCTGGGCCATGGGCAGGCGGCATCGTCGTGAGTTTGAAATACACACGGGTGGTCGGCAGGAAGTGTTTTCAAATGGTAGTTCATTGTATCCTTGGAAGTCAATGTGCTCTTGTGCATTCGAGCACTCACAGACCGTGAAGCACAGTAGAAATGTCTGAGGTTGTTTTGCTAAGTTGTAAATCAGAGCCAGATTCATTTGGAGCCTTGATAAGTTAAAAATGAATGGGCAGCATTTTCAGGAGATGACCTGGGCCTTGGGAAATTTTCAGATTTCCTGTGACTTTTTTTTAATAAATAATTTTGTTGTTGTTGTTGTTTACAAAAAAGGAGATAGGGGCTTGCTTGCTACATTGGTCAGGCTGGTCTCAAACTCCTGAGCTCCAGCGTTCTGCCCACCTCGGCCTCCTCGCAAAGTGCCGGGATTACAGGACTACAGGTGGGAGCCACTGTACCTGGCCAATCTTGTGATTTTTTGGTTCCCACATTTTAACATACAAGGAGTGTTTTCAGAAGAATCAATATCTGAATTGGTTTTGTCAACCCCGTGAATGAAAATTAAATGGCGATAATAATGAAGCTTGCAGGCGGGAGTGGGAACTGCAGCTGTGCCAGCACCCAGAGCCGGAGCCTCTGACCATGGCGTGGGTGGGCAATTGGAAGGAGGCTGGCGACTTTGGTGGTACCACTGCCAGTCTGGTGGGTTCTGCCCACCCTCTCCACTGTCCCAGGCCCAGAGCAGGGACAGGAGCCCCTACTGACCCCGACCTCAACACCAGCTGCGTGAGGCTCCTGTTGTCCTGCACTGCCCGTCTGTGTCCCTGTGCCAGATGGTACCAGACCCCAGGCACAACAAGCACCTGGGTGCAGGTGCGCCCTCAGCAGGGCAGGGACCCTCTGCAGCCCCGGTCCCTGAGATGCACCCTGCTGGCCTCCGCCACGCGGCTCTGTCTGCCGGGCCAGGTTCCTTACTGTTCCTTCCTACATCCTGGAGCACCCCGGGTGCAGCCTGCCCTCTGTCCCTGGCTGTGCTGTGAGGAGCCTGCCTGGCGCGGGCCTGGGCTGGAGGCAGGGCCTCTTGGCCAGAAGTCCCTGGGGTCTGCAGCCAGCCTGGCTCCTATGCAGCCCCACCTCTGGCCTGTGGGCAGGGCCTGTGCCCATCACTGAGGAAGCATGCTGGCCACAAGCCCGAAAGCCCAGGAGTGGGCTCGGCCCGGAGCCTGGCTGTGGACGCACCTCTGCCCCTCTAGCTGGGCTCACTGGTGGGCACGCCAGTCCCTCGGTGCCACATGGTGGGTGCTCCCACCTGCCGGCGCTGAGAACAGGTCGGGCATGTGGAGTCCAGGGCTGCTGGCAGGGCAAGAGCCTCCCAGGGACTCAGGCACAGATGCCATCCCCAGGAAAACGTCAGAGGTCATGCAAGTGCTGATTGGTGAGCAGTGCCCAAGGGCAGAAGGCTGGCAGGGCTGTGGCCTCCCCACATTGTGCTGTCATTTCCAGGGCTCTGCCAGCTCACAGCTTGGCAGCATTGAGCCCGTTTTCCAATCACTCACAGCTTCTCGGGTTCTCTGGACCCGGGACTTGTCAGTTTATGCTCAGGGTGGGGGACAGAGCCTCACAACGCACACCTGGCGGCCTTTGACAGCCCCCGCCTCCTGGGGCCAGAGTTTGGACAGGCTCTTCCCATGAGGCCACCCAATGGGCAGTGGGCGTGCAGGCCAAGCAGACGGGCACCGGGCGCACTCCGCAGCCTCATCCATCATGACACGCGCCGTCACCTCGTCACCAAGCTCCATTCTGCCTCCGCAGCCCTAAAACACCGAAGGGGGCTCAGGACACGGGCGGTGCTGCTTGCGAGCCTCGGTGACAAGTGTTCAGTGAGGTGTGCGGCGTGCTGCCTGTGCCCACCGTAATTTGTTTATCTGTCCAAAGATTATGCAGTTGAAAATCCACAATTTTATGCTGCCTTTGTAAATTACCACGCTGCGTTTGATGAATGTTTCCCCACTTCCGTGGAGGCGCCGTTCCGTCCGCGAGACGGGAAGGTGCTCATGCATGGAGTGCCGAAGCTTGTGTTTTCATCCCTTCTGGCAGGCGCCCATGCTGGAAAGTAAATCTGACCTTAAGCTTCCCACTGCATTAAAGATAATTCAGTTTTAACTCGATAGTCTCAGATGCTTCAGCTGTGGATATAAAATTCCAGAGCCGAGTGCTGACCAGCAGCAAACCCCTTCCCGAGGCGCCCGGAATACAGGCACCCGCCGGGAAATGCACACGCAGCCGTGAATTACTATGCACAGATTGCTTTGTGTAGTGGTATGGAATTCGGTGTCTGTTCTCATTTGAACACTGAGTTCTAAGCTCATAGAACAGTCAAAAACAAATGAAAGTGGGAAAAGTGGAACGAGATGGGCTGCCTCAGTCAGAGGGCACACCCGCACAGAAAGCTGGGGCTGCACCACTCCTGTGAACAGGGTCCCCTGCAACTCCCCCAAGAGCCCAGGAGCACGTCCAGGCGAGGGGAGCTTGGAAGCGGGGCCAGCACTCAACTCCGCACACGACCCCTCCTAGAGGCAGATACCTCGTGGCCGAAAGGGCCAGGGCCAAGGTGCTGAGGTGCTGCCATGCCACCAGAGCCTTTGGTCCGTGGGCTGGCCTCTCTCTCAGGGGCCAGGCAGGACGGGTGGCAGAGGCTGGGGAGGTACTTGCAGGGGCCGAACCCCCCATCTCTCTGCCCCCACAAAACCCTGATGTTCCTGCTGGTCAGCTCCCCACCGGACCCAGGATGCCCCACCTCCCCACACCCACCCATCTCTGTTTCCCCTTTCCAGTCGGAGAGCGAGGAGAAGGTTGTCACCTATGACCACATTGGGCCCAACGTCTGCATGGGAGACCACAAGGTGACGTAGACTGAAGTCCAGGGGCCGGGCCGGGGGACCGGGGGAAGCTAGGGAGCCGGGGAGCTGGGGCCGGTGGGC